AACTCGTGCTGGGATGCCAGTCGATGTGGATGATCCTCCGCCAGTGTCTGCGATTGAATCCGCACCACCTCCTCCAGTAGTCGCACCGCATCCTTGACCTGACCATTCGCTTGATATGCGATTGCTAACGCGTGCTGCGATGCCAGTCGATTAGGATGATCCTCCGCCAGTATCTGCTCTCGAATCCGCACTACCTCCTCTAGCACCCGTACCGCATCTCCTACTTTTCCATAGTTGTATAGGTTCCGACCAAAAAGCTCATAGACTTCGATCCACCGCTGATCCACCCTGCGCTTGTCGAGACCGAGGTGAGAACACAACCGATCGAGCAGCTCGAATAGTGTCTGGTCATCTCTCATACCATGAAGTAGCCATCCACATTTCGTCCATATACTGCACACCGCTACCTTATTCTCGGACCTAAATGCACACCCCATCTCCCACGCCGTAATCGCTTGAAGGTGAGGCCGCAGTGGCCGTGCGTGCACTCGCCATATGTCGTACTCACTCCGCGACACCGCCACCACGCATCCTATCGCGACCCACGACGCATGATGTTGGCGCTCGTCTTGACGGTCCCGCGCCCACGCGTGCACCAACGGATGCATCGATATACGCACATACCCATCGTCCACGTTGGTCGACACCAGTGCAAAAGCCCTTAGGGCGTTGACAGCCTCCACCAGCCGAAACGAATCCCACGCGCCGCCACCGGCTTGCATGAGGGAAGGCAGTCGAGATACGTGCCATGTCGTCAGACTAAGATCATTCTCATCGCTGGATTGGTCGTCCGGTATCTGTTGTGCTCCATTCCACGCCGCTTCAAACAGGAGCAGCGGTAGTTGACTCGGCCCGCACACCGCCAGAAGTGGGAGCAGCTCGAGTGCATCTCGCGACGACTCCGTTTGACTCGCTTGCAAGATCTCCACCGATGCTTCAAACGTCGCGTATACATCCCGATACCGTGACTGAGCCTGTAACGGCCGAAACCCGAGCAGTCGCTTCCGTTGACGCTGATACACCTCGGGGTAAGCGGCCAGGCTGCAGTGGCCGCGCCTCACATATGCTCCAGCCTGGATTAAGGCGAGAGGATGTGACTGGAGTAAGATGGCCACCTTTCGTGCTACATCATCCAACAACGGTCGTCCGTCAATAGCTACCCCGGCTGCTTTCAGTAAGAGTTCCGTTGCGTCCGCCGTTGGAAGCCCTTCTAGAGCCACGTATTCTGCGGTCGCGTACTGCTCGCATTCCGTATTTCGCGATGTTAGCACCACTACGCCGGATGTACCGGGTGGGAAGTAGTCCTGGTAATCAACGTTGGGGTCATCCGCATTATCCAGCACTAACATCCACGGTCGCTGGATATTGGCGAGCCCCTGTCGGCCTTCCTCCCACGTGGGCGCCGAGATCTGAAGTCGGTGGGCGATGTCGAGAAATCCGTTCTCGGCTAGAGAGGGCGTGCTGACGTCGATCCAGAAAACACCCCAGAGTCTGGCCGCAGTTAGTGCTGTCCACTCAGAAACACTATGGGAATAGGGATGACCTACAACGATCGAACACGTTGCGCAAGTTGTAAGCTGATTTCGCTCTTGCCCTGGCCACCCAGGCCTGTGATGACCACGCGACATTGCATGGAGCGCGAGCCGTCTTGCACCGCGGCGCGGACACTCCGTTCCAGATCGTCAAGGATGTCCTTTCTCCCCGTAAAGAGAGTGTTGGGCGAGCGGGATACTACCCAGTGTATGTTACTTCTCTCCACGTTCGTGCCTACAGAGGTTAGACATGAGGTCAGCTAGGATATGAGCGGTGGTCTTACTCTGCGGAGGCCGACCGAGCTCTTTGTTCAGCCGGATGAAAGCGTGGTCTCCTTCGCCATAGATGGGAGGCATGAAGATATCAAAGATTCCGAGTAAACAGTATGCCTGGTCCTCCTTCTTCTTGGTGTGGCGATGAGCGGCCCATCGCATGCGCTCGTCCACACTAAATTGAGACAAAGGTGTGCCGCGGAGCGCCGTAATGGGAATATCCGTGATCTCGTGGATCGGCTGTTCGAGGGTGCTCCTGCTGCCCAGCCGTTGCTCTTCTCGTGAAAAGAACTCGACCGATGCCGACGCCAGTAGTTCTTGAAGCGTCCACCCCCGTGTGAACCATCTGCTGCTGCGGAACGCCCGTTCCCATGCCCGTTCTGTCGGGTCTTCTCCGTCAGGGATGGACACGTCGGCCAGGTAGACATAGCACTTGACGGCATCGCGGTACCAGCGAAACATCGAGTTGATGGCTTCGGAGTATTGCGTATTGTTCGCTTTATTGATGCAGCATGTGTCCACCCAGAAGTATTCGAGGTTGTCCTTCTTCGCTTGCTCGCCGCAGAACCGGATCTTCGCATAGCCAGCCTTACTCTTGAACGATTTGTGTTTGAGGTCGTCGAAATCGACCTCGTCCTTATCGTCTCCCCACGTATGAGAGAGGATCGCGTATGGGGGAATACCGTCGTGAAGATCCTCGGTCAGGCTGAGCTCGCCCTGATTGTCGAATTTCAAAAGGTGCATCGTGCTGGGTGGGCACTGGCGGCACGTTATGAGCACATGTGCGGCCTAGTCGGCAGACCATGCTTCTCATGTCCCATTAAAGCTTCTTGAGTGCTCGTTGTGACCTGCCAGGGGAAACCACTCTAGCACACTGAGCGGGCGCAGAGAGGCAGTCGTGGTGGTTGCAATGACGGCGAGGCGACGGCGAGGTAACGGCAAAGTTGGTTACGCGGCGGGCGCGGTAGACCCTGGACAGTGATGGGCGACTCAACGCTGTGCAGCCTTTCAATACTGGGCCACGGCCAGAACTGACCCAGCGATTATATAGACGCATTGTGAAGAATATCCGAGTAGGCTGAAGGTGGATGTTCAGACGGCGCAGTCGCCTGCATGCGGTGCGGCAGCGTGTTGCCTGTACGGAGAGTAGGCACGAGGATGGGGGCTGAAATGTGTGGCGTCCTCGGCGTCAACCCCAACACCGCCTCTGCAATTTGTGGCGTAGAGCAGACAGACTAAGTAAGGTTAAAACAGTAAATGGCGAAAGTGTCTTCAAATGACATCCCATACAGCTGCAATTTGACGTGGTCGTTTAATCAGACGACCGTCCCATCCATAACTGTACCGCAACGGCACGGTTGCTACGTTCGTGCCAAGAGATCTCGGCTGGTCCTCGGCGCTTGCCGGAGGCCCACTTTAGCGCATGCAGATCTTCCACGAGATCGGTAATGCATCACGGCGCCCACCAGCAACAGAGTCAGTCTATTTCGGAGATTGTTCACGTGTAAGATAAATAGCCTGGCTGTCCATGACTGCTGTCTACTATGCTGAGTAGGAGAGTATTGATCCGGCCGAGACGCCGGGAAGGAGGGGAGGTGAAACGGAGTGGCCGATTTCCACGTGTAATGGTCACACCAAGATGGTAATTTTATACAATGTGCAGATATATGGGTAATTCAGCATCCATGCGATCGAGCTCCCTCATCTAATGAGCGACATTCGCATTTGTGTTCGATAGAGAAGTGTGCAAAATACAAGTGGGTCCACACCTAGGGCATTTCATGGCGTAGGGATGCACGTTACTGTGGAAGCAAGCCACGTAGAAAACTAGCTAGTCCCCTATGAGCGCAGCCCGCACAGGGGTGTATGAATAAAACCAAACTAAACCAAACAATAAGTCATATCCTTTCTTTTGAATAAGCCTTGTAAGCGAAGATGGTTACGAAGGATAGCTATGAAATGTTTGGGTTCATATATGCCAACTTTGAGGCCTTGTAATCTGTATGCTCAGTTGCTCTGCTGCACAGAGCACCGGAGCATACAGGGCAACAGATCAACCACGTGACTACGATTGTGATCCTTGCCAAGGAGTCTGCTTCCATAGCCTTCGTCTGGCCTCCCTCTGCTGACCACGACCGAGGTCGTAGTCAGGCCGCAACACCGACTCATCTTCTAAACTCCTAGCTAATTAACATCTACCTATTATGTATTTGGTATACATGTCGGAAAAATAAATCGAACGACTTAATAGTTATAGTCTTGTAAACTTAGACCGATATGCCTGAATCGCGACATCCTTGGCATGGTCTACCCTTCGTGGAAGGGAGTACGTCGAGAGCTGGGTCGTGCGTCATTGTGCTGCAGGGGAGGCCCAGGTTTCGGCTTATTCATACATCTCTTGCGCAGCTGTCTCAGTATCTGATGTCGCTGTAGCGTGTTATTGACCCCCGTTCGCATTGCGTGTGCTCTTGAATTACTTCACCGTAAGTGCACATGGTGTTATGATCACAATATTATAATGTATCAACCACTGACTAGAGGAAAGGAAAATGACGGTTCGATAAAGACGTTTAATTTTCAGATGATACAATGAGAACAGATGTTGATGGATGAACGAGATTTATGTAGATCGGAGGTGTAAACTAATCTGCAGAGGCTAAGGGCAAGCATTTCCAAATGGTCAAGGTGATAGAATCCTTGGCTATGCATCGAAAACTTACTCCCCACCTTGAATAGGCTTTGCTAAGGGCACGTGTTCAACTAGGGGGTAGCAATTGCCGAAAGGATGTGCCGAGCCTAGCTGAAAGCAAGGAAAGACCCCTCTTCCAGTAAAACCCCATCCTCTTCAAGAAAGGCCCCGTCCTCTTCCCTAAAGTTCCCATCATATTCTACTTCGGAGACTTCTGATAGCCACTACATTGCTTTACTATCCCCAGCATTAATGCGTCACAGCTTGCATGTCAGACCAAGACGTTTCGAAACTCGCCTCGATTTTTGCGAAGCGCCTTACCGAAGAGTGGACGAGGAAAAAATACACCATATGGATTTGACAAAGCGCTATAAAGAGCACAAGGTTTACCAGAAGGAGATACTGAACAAATTTTACTCAGCACTGGGTTTAAGGCTTAGATATCCTATTTTCTTGCGAGGTAAGGCAGTGCGAATTACTATCCCAGCCGGGCGGAGAATCTTTGGGCTATTGATACTCTTCAAAAGCTTTCGGTTGAGTCCTAAAAAGAGGTGGTAAACCATATCGTTAATACTCAGGCTCACGCGACTGTTTCAGTTGTAATTGACCAACTTTGGGAACGGCAAGGGAGTAGTGAGTTGTGCAGAAATTTGTTCATCACGTAAATTTTCCATGACCATTTATCAGGACCAGCGAAATCTTCGAACTCAATACCCGGCGAAATGCAGTTGGACTTAACGCTCGAACAGATGCAACAATCTGAAGCATCGGTATCTGCTGATCATAACAACGCCATGACGGTAGAGACGAACGTAGAATCGAATACGGCTACGAGGGAAATGTTAAGCGATCTGCCTGTACCGTCACGATCCTTTAAGCAGCAGACAGTCTCACACCCACCTGCCCAACTTTTACCGAACCTTTTCCCAGAGTATATGTGCAGTGCGGTTAAGAAAGCTGGTGATCAAGCTCAAGTTGAGATGGCGTTCCCTTATACTCTTAGGATGGTTTGCATGAGCCTGGTAATTCTTTCGAGTAAGATCCAACATGTTGCAATGGAGCTGTTCGGTATACATGTGGAATCAGAGGATGGATATCGAGTTGTCATTCAAGGAAACGGGAGAAGATTAATGCCTCAACTAGAGTTGGTTATTTTAGGGGCTCCAGACGGCGCCATTTCAAAGCTCCTTGGTTCAGATATGGGCAATTTCATCAAAGTGAGTCCCGCGCGCAAGAAAGAATTAAAACAACTTTATGTGGAAGGAGATATAATAGATACCACCTAGTCCAAAAGCAGTTAGCTAGTCGTATCAGCTTCCCGGGGCAGCACCACGCGGGGAGCAACTCAACTCGGTACCTGTACCGACTACTCAAGTAACACGAAAGTTGGTACATAAACCCAACACTGATTCCCAACACCGTTACTACCTCACCAAGCAACACCTTCTCGTTATTCAGCTACCGCTATCGCAGTCCCTCTTGAAGACAACCTCCCTCAAAATGGATCGAACCACCACCTTCGCCCCGGCAAAACAGTCCCTCCCGCGCCCTTCGTCCGTCGCGTCCACAAACACTACCTCGACCAACAAAACCCGGCAGTACGCCCACCTGCACGCGCAACTGGCCCAGCTTAACGCGCACCTAGCCGACACGGAGAACCTGCTGAGGATGACGGCCGTGCAGGCCCAGGACATGCGGTTCTTGGGAGGCTACGTCGGGGCGTTGTTCATGGGCAGCGCCAAAGTACTCGGGGAGGAGAGTGTACAGGGCAGAGGGAAGAAGGAGGACGAAGGCAGAGATGGACAGAAAGACTCGTGAACACGTGGTTTAAATGAGGCGGAACAACAACAACCAACCTCGACGGCCAGACCACACTTCTCGCACACGGGGATTCCCTCCGTGACGCGACCAAATCCAGAGGATCAAGACCCAGAGGGCAGTTGAACCTAGCTGTTTCACGGCATGAGGACGTGATTGTTTCTCTTATCCAAGATCGTCGCACTTGGGTCCCGCTACGTACCGCTGCGCACCGCTCGAATGCAACACATCACTAGTGTCGCTCATTTGACGTTATACAAGAGTACGATCAGCCTCTGGTTTCCGCCCATCATCGCCCTCAATTTGAGCGATCTCTGGTCCGTGTTTGTTCTCCTGGCTCATCAATATTTGGAATGTGCAGAGGTGTTCAAACCTCGCAGCGCTGTTCGACTCGTTCGTCGCTTCAAGCTCGAGTAAATGAGACGGCAGAGAGGGGGATTGGCGCCTTCCACAACGATTCCATCCAGCTGACCCAATCCTCTTTCAAGGATGTGTCTGTCAGTCATCCTTCATCAACGATGCAGATGCAACGTCTGCATTCCAGCCAGCCACAACCTCGGATCGGCGCTTGTCACGGATCAGACTGGCCGCCATCCCAGGTTGTAAACCTGAGATTAGGAACCATATCACTCCGTCACGCTGTCATCGTGGAGGCTGCCGAGGACAAGATTCGGAGAGGAGTCCAACATGGCTGACAGTCTCTCCGCACGTCGTCTTCCGGCCACCCATCCCATGAACTCCGAATAACTTTGCGGCAATACACTCACATCTGCCGGTGAGAAGAAAGTATAAAAGAATGTGCCTGTGGACTTTCTTTCTTGGTCCTGGTGTTCAACAGGCCGGACGTGTGTCCGTACCATTACTTGAATGCGAGTACCGCCGCCGGGGTGAGGTTCCGTGAACGAAACGCCTGCCGCGACATAGAGCACTGAACCAACGGGAACAGGCTCTTCGAATGTGCTGGGATCCAGGTTCAAGAACCGTGGACGGGTATGCGAGAAAGAGGCTGCACAGGTGAAAGCTAGTTCAAACGTTTGTTTGAGCAAAAAGCCTCCAAAGATCATGAAATGATGACGGTTCCTGTACTGCGGCATCATGATCTGGGTGCTGTGGATGGTACTCTTAGACATGGCCACTACGTTGGACGGCTGGTTTTTCGGGTTGTTGCGGTCAGCATATGCAAGGGAGTCGGTCCACATTTTGTGGATTAGAGCCGACTCATCCGCATCAGGTGGCTTGGTCAAGATATGTGCAGATCTCATGGTCTTCTTGTTTCTGTAATTCTCCTCGCCCTTGGCGAAAAGCGCCTTCTCGGCTGGAGTGTTGACTTCCAAGGGAGCGATATTCATGGGTTTTTTGGTCCTGGGATCCAAGGCCACCATAGTGAAGGCACAGGTCATAAAGACATCCTCTGGTGCAACCTGACGACCTGGAGCTGGAGCTTTGGCGATCTGCAAGGTCACTTCCATACTGCTCCGTCCGGTAGCGTACGTCACTTGTCCACTGAGCTCCAAGTCACAAATCTCTCGAATGGGATTCTTGATAGTAATCCTGTCCACAGCTGCAGTCACATTGCTTACCCCTTCCCCAGTGTGTTTGTAGGCCACCACACCAGCCAGGGCATCCAGGTCCATGAGCAAGGTACCAATGCGGATTTGGCCCGTATAGTTTGCGTAGGTATCGAGCAGCCAGGGATCTTGCTACAGGATGGCACGTCAACCGGGTGCACAGGGAAATCACATCATACGCATAGGAGGCAACTAACAGAGAGAGGCAGGACAAGGCTGACATAGGTGTCCGACATTTTCTTGGGGGTCAGGTCTACTTTGGCACTCTCCACGACCGGCGTCTGATTGTTGTTCTCCGCCTCTTTTCTTTCCCGAAGTGCCTTGATCCAGGGTGTTCGGACCCGCATTTCTGTGAGAGCTTTGTAGACCCCGTCTGTACGAGCTGCCACGGTAGAGTGGAAGGGTCGAGTGAGAGCATGTCTCGCCGGGATCACCCTCTGGGTGGTCTGGCGGACGAGCCCTGTCCGGGTGAGATAGAGGAAGAAATGTCGAGCCATTGGCGGAGGAGAGGTAGCAATGCGACAAGTTGGGACTCGCATGTCGGGTGGTTATAGGAAGTAAGTCATGTTGGTGGCAACGTGGTCCTAATTGCTTTATAAGGTAGGAGGAGGTGGGCATTCACCCTCTCCAGCATTGACTGCGCATATTATTGCCGTCACAGAGTCGAGACTGAATGACGGAGTTTATGCTCAGCATCAGTCAAAAAGACGCAGTCGGAAAAACCAATGGCCGATGCCGAAGGGATGCACCGACTTCCCCTTCACACAGAACAGTGTTTTTTTCTCCCTTGACACGCACAACAGCTGGTCCTTCAGGATGTATGAGAAGGTCATTGAGCTGGGTAGACGTGTCTTTGAGCACCGAAAATCCCATGTTCACTTACTAACTACGACAAGTACCAAGGTGACCTGTGAGGATGCTTCTCAAGCCAGTTTGATCTCCGACAAACGAGCCCGTCCCTCTCGTCTGTGGCTTCCTAGGGCAAGGTCTTTTCTTTTATCTCTTCAGTGTTCTTTTGCTGGTGATTTGGATCTTGGTTCACTCGTCTTGAATGATGCTAACGCAAGCATTGCCGATCTTGTTGAAGACGCTGAGGTAAGCCTCATCTCAAGGCGATCAATCTCTTGCGGTGTGCTCATAATCCACATAGCTGTGGACGCAGCTCGGATACGAGGCATCTCTGACGCGGTTGACCTGCAGAGGTAGTACCGAGACTGAGAGCGTCCTGGAATTGGACTTCAGACTTTGTGTAGGGCACTATCAACCTGCTGCACTAATACTAACCCAACCCCTCAGAGTCAGAGGAATTTCGATTACCATTCATCCTTTCCCGTTGGAATTGCCCAGATAGAGTTGGACTCGGTGCGAATGCATCTACATTTTACAGGCGGGAACCCATTCAAACGAAGGAATGGTCCAGACGTTCGCTATCAAGATTCTCCTTTGAGTAGCCATCGCGCGGGCGAGAGTATACCCAACACGCGGGAGAGGTCTAGCGTACGACTGCACCCGATGTCAACGAGAAGTATCACAGCCAAGTTGTCCTCGTCAAATGAACCGGCGTCATTAAAGGAGGCGTGTGACCAGCGACCGTTATTGGATGGAGGTGCCCTATTTGCCCTCCTTGACGCGGGCGTGCGTGGCAGCATATGCTCCAAACCCCTCCGCTTGTCTGCAGGCGTAAAATGCCTAACTGATCAGAATGCATTCTCGCTGTGCGACTTTGCCCCAACAATATTCGTACCAAATTACGTCCAATGGTTTGAAGAGCAGGCCAGATTCATTCCGACCATTTCCAAATGCTTGGAGACTTTCCTCGGATTTTCGGAGCCTGGTGATCCACAACAGCAGTTCGAAGGATCCGTTGACTTGGGGTCTGGCCCTCACAGGGGAGAAAATTCTGCAAGGACCCTGCAGCAGGATCTCTGGTTCGGTCTCATGAAGGGCCTGCGATATCACGAATCTGCTCGAAGACTCCGACCTCTGCAGCTTCCAAGCAATAAATCACCTGAATCGATGCTAGATTGGGATCATCTTCTAAATATACCATGGCACGCCGAGGTGGAAGCGAGAGATAGATGGGAGCCCGAGCCAGATTCGGACGAACAAGCTATCAACCAAGACGACGATGTCGATTTGTTCCTCGAATGTGGGGTTCGGGATAATATATGTGGGAGCTACGTCGACCCGGTGACAGCAGAAGGTATCAATGGCGGTCGCAGTGGTGCACCAAATGCGTTACATGGTGTGGAACTCACAGGCGGTGGGCAGGGCCACGACGAAATATACGACTGCCCGATTGAACCCAACAGGGCTGCCCGTAGGCCACCTAACCAAAACAGAAAGCACTCGGCCAGCCTGTCAGGGATAAGTGATGTGTCAATGCTCCTGGACTGCGAAGGACCTATAGACGGAAGGCGCATAATCAGGCAGTCAGGGGCCATTGGTGGACCAATATGGCTTACTCAGAATGTCATCCGCATGCATCCGCTGAGGCAGCAACGCCATGGCATTCATCAAGTGGACCACGAAAACAGCCCATCCAGAAGGGACAGCTTATATGAGAGGCCTGGCCTCGGCTGGTGGTCAGATACGAGCGATGCAAGCGAAATGCTTCTCGAAGACCGTCGTGACTACTATACAAACCCACATCTAGCCGACATCTGCTCATCACCTCTTTCCTTCAGCCAGGAAGGTTGTTTAGACGATTATCTCGACTTACCATACGACGGCAGTCAGGAGGATCTTGTTGGTGGCAGGACGACCCCCATGTCAACAAGCCAGTCCAGCGAACAATCGAACATCTCTCTAGCGGAGGTCCTTGGGAACGACCATTTATTGTGGCATATGTGGAAAAGGCGTGCAAGCGTGGCCCCTCGAGGGGAGGAAGACATTGTCGACATGAAAACACTGTATGCCACGGATCCAGACATGAAGTTGTTCAGTGCAAGATGGGACCTTGATCCGAGCGACATCAGTTCTGGGAGCAACGAAGACCCCATGCTACACGAAGCGTTGGAAGGCCGAACATCGCCTCGAGACAAAGCTCACTCCCCAGTGACACCCAATTCGGAAAGGCGGTCGTACTTCACTCCAACACGGTCCTCGTCATCTTCAACCTATGTTGGGCGATCAAGTGCCGACCCCAAGCGACGGTCAAGTCTGATCAAGCGGTTTACTTGGGGAGGGCGGCAGACCAACGCCGACACAAGTACCCTGGATGTCGGCAAGTTGGAGCAAAGGACAATGGAAGTCAAAAGACGGAAGACTATGGACGACTATGACATGATGGACAGAGAAGCCAGCAACGATGACTCGAGCGACATGCTGTTTTGAAAGCGAGGTTCTGCGTGCCATACACTTTTCGGGCGTTCAAAATAGCGGAAAGGCCAAGATCAAAGGACAAACGAGACTTGGGAAGGGCATCTGGGC